ATTAATTTATAAGAATATTAATTTTTGAGACAATATGTCTGTACATACAAAAAAACATTTAACTTTAATGATTGAAGATAAAAATATAATAGTTCAAGGCGAATAGCTGACGGATAGACATATGGATCATTTTCAAAGTCTTTTAATAAATTATTCCGATTATCGACCTGTTGAAACATGGCGAATACAGTTACCAGATATAATACAAGCTGTATCAAAAGATACAAAACATATACAAATATTATATAGTTCATCAAGTTCATTAGACGGATATTGGGTATGTAATTTTTACGATAGAAAAAATATATTTATATACGATTCTTTGAATAATAAAACATTGCACGAACAACATAAGCAATTTTTGGAAAGATTATTTCCAACATATGACTTTGAAAAAAATCCTATCAAATTTCCTGACGTACAAGATCAACGAAACTGTAGTGATTGTGGTGTTTTTGCTATAGCTTTTGCAATTTCATTATTATTTAATATTAAGCCTGAAAAAGTAAACTATGAACATAGGTTAATGCGGTTACATTTGTTAAAAATTCTTGAAACAAATGTAATTGAGCATTTTCCTCAAGATTCACAATATGGTGCTCCTCAAAAAGTACTTCCCGTAGCAGTAATAAGAGCAAGAGAGGCTGAAGCATTTGCTAAACGTATAAAGAATCAATATGAAACGGAACAACAGAAACAGTCTCGATTAAAAAGATTTCATGATAATTATTTATGTAAGAAAAGTATCGAAAATAATCGGGCAAAAAAACGTCCTCTAAAAGAACAGAATTTAGGTAATTATTGTGTTAAAAAGCAGTTCCTGTACGCACAGGATGTAGAAAATAAGCAACGATATAAAAACAATAAAGAAAAAAATCGTGTTAATAGGCGAACTCAATATCTTAAACATTCTCAGCATGAACGAGATAGACAAACGCAATATCATAATCGTAAGTGGTTGTATAATAAACGATATTATGAGAAAAAGAAGTTAAAAGTTAGCCATGTTAAAAAAAATATTGCTCGAAGTATTATTAAAAAATATGACAAGTTATGGTCAAAAAGTTACACTCAAATGCGTAATCCTATCATAATAACAGATATTGTAAAAAAATTAAATATTAAAGATCATGTTGAAAAACAATTAGAAGCTGAAAAAATCGTACGTTGGTCTTTGCATGTTAGGAACAGTTATATTCGCAATATGTACAAAATATTAGCTATATTTAAAAAGAAGTCAGAAGTACACCTAACTCTTGTCACTGACTGTTTAACAATTGATGGTAGATTACATGCATTATGTGGTATATCGAGACATACAGCTTCGTCCGAAAATTATTTCGCTTTATGTATCATGATAAACTTGTTTCATCGGAATCTTTAATAATGAACGTAAAAGGTCAAGTTACAAATATATTACCTCTAATAGAAGCACGAGCAAAAAAAACATGGTCCTGTAGTGCTTCATGTAATATTGATCCACTTATAATTGATTGTTATCAAAAATTCCTTGAAGCATTAAATAGATGCACTTTAAAGAAAATACCACAGTTGTTACATGAATTTCATCAAAAATGTACAATAAACACTTCGACTAATAAGTTTGGTCATATTAATAATTGTTATACTGATCCAACTCTTTGCGAAGTGATGTCTCTTTCTGCTCAGTTATTGTCACCTCATTTTCCAAAGGTGAGGAATATTATATGTTTGATTTATCGAATGACAGCATTTTATCGAAAGATGATAGATCTAGAAGAGGTTTTAAGTTCTGCTGATATAGATACATTAAATCAAATTATAACCTTGGATCAACAACTAGTAAATGTATACAAACATCACCAGACTTTAACTACTTTAAGTGATGATGATATTATTTCTAAATATAGCAAAGCATTTAAGGCGTTTACTAAACGGTCCATGGACATACCTCGATATGTTTGTGTTTCATATGAAAGATTTTGTTACAAAAGAAGTGTATCTGAAGTTAGTAAGATTAAAGTACAATTAGATATTCCAATTTGGAGAGATTTAATGGAGTATGTAAAAAATCATAATATTAACCCACAATACATATGTAATTATTGCGAACGAAAATTTCATAATGGATTAATGCCTGCGTATTGTGTTTTAAATAATCTATTTATACAAGATGTTCCCGAAGTAATATCATCTCTTAATACATTTGAAAAAATTCTTATACAAAGAGCTAAAGCATTCTAAACTGTTGTTAAAATGGGAACTGTAATGAACAAAAAGTTACCTCAAAGACAGATGGTACAGAAAGTAAAAGGTAGAACATTCCATTTTTGCTATTACCTTTACAAAGAACATTGAATAAAATATGTTCAAATACTGATCTAATAAGTAAAAAAAGTGAAATATATATTTTAATCAGAGGTATTCCGACAAAATCTAAAATTATTTGGGAAGAACTAATAGATGTAAAAAAGTGTTTGATGCTTTAACATGGTTAAAATGTAACGATCCTCTTTACAAACATATTATACTGCCAGATGCTCACGGTAAATTATGTTCGGAGAATATTGAATTTTTTGAATTAAAAGAGGAAACTGAATCAGTTTCGAATGACAACGATACATTACTGAATTCGAAAATTAAAATACAAGAAACAAAAAATAACGTAGAAACTACTATATTAAATAATAAGGGTGAAGCAATGTTAACTCAGATAGTTCATGATAATAATAGTTATTACGAGCAGTACACTATTTATCCTTTATATGAAAAAAAATCACGTGAAAGTGCTACCGCTTTATTTCAAATGTTAAAAATTCAAGAATTACCCTTGAACAATCGTGAAAAATTTTTATATTTATTGTGTTTTCCAGATTTATATCCTTTTGGTGTTAATGGACAATATGAATCTCTAGACAAATTAAACTTCATGATCAAGAATTTATTAAAGTTCGTTTGACATCTAAACATCCCCAATTCAGACTAAATCAACAGTACTTATTTTATTTGTTAAATAATGCGAATAATCGTCAATTAGCTCGTGATATCTATCATAAATTGAATGTAACTAATTTGCGAGATTGTTATACGGCTTCGGAATATTTGCAAGCAATGTATGAAAATTTATTAGAATCTAATTTGAATACAATATTTTCCACTTTAAGAAATACGGAAAAATACTGGCGTATAGACCAAAAAATGATTTAAAATTGTATGATACAACATTACGGACCTGCGACATGGTTTTTAACATTTAAGTCCGAGTGAGTGGATGTGGGATGATTTAGGTCAATACATTCATGAAGTAAATGAATGGTATGATGATTCATCTTGTACTAGTGTTCTCGTTGCTAGAAATCCTGTATCAACATCAAGATTTCTCGAGACTAATGGCGAATTCGATTGATGTGCACTCACTCGATGTTGCTCGGTGCCAGTGGCTAGTAACTTTTGCACTAATGCCGAAATGGTGTGGTGTATGCGATCCGAGTGTGGTTTTATTTGCCTTGATTCAGATCCAGTGCTCCTAGTAACTTGACTCTCTCACTGCCCCGAATCAATGCTAATCAATGCACTGCTCTGAATTAGTGCTAACCAATTCGATTGGCTTCACTTCAGAGCAAAGAGTTCGGCTACAAAAATGATATTGTTTGCGAATTCGATTACGAAACGGTTAT